ATATATTTATTCATCAAGCTGCTTCAATAACAGGATTTGCTCTTGGAGTGGCTTGAGTTACAGTATGCATGCAAGAGAATTGTAAGGTGTAAAAGGTGCTCAGCTGTAGTAGAGTTTCAAACATCTTTATTCAGCGTCCAGGTACCCGGTGTATGAGTCTGAAGCAAATTCTTTGCGAATTCTTGAAACTACGCAGGCTTGCAGAAATCTTCTGTTGTTGCGCCCCAGCCCGGCGTTTCCACATCCAGCGCGTAAACACTTGTACGCCACAAAGCGAAGTCTGTGAAATTAACAAGAACCAAATATTAGTAATGTCACTGTCACATGCATGATCATAAATAGAGTTCCGTGTTTTCGGATTTTATTTTTCTTCAAATTTGGAGGGTGTTTTTCGGAAGTTATTTCTGTTTGATTCTCCATCCTCCGAAATTCAGTGTGTTATTACGCAGTGTTTCTTCTTAAAAATAAATAGAAATATCCAAGTGTAAACGTATACTGGATAAAAAAAAAGAAAGCCGACTGTGTTAGTATTTTCTTCAGTTGTATTTGGCATTGCTCAGGGGTGAGACAGGTGAAGCAGGTTTTGGAGCAATTTCTGGAGCAGAAAAATCTGGATTTTGGAGCAGCTTAGGAGCACAAAATTCTCGTTTTGGAGCAGCAGTTTATGCATCTTGGAGCAACTTCGGAGCAGAAAAGCCTACAGTTTGGAGCAGATTAAGAACAGGAAATGTTGGAGCAGCTTATTAGCAATTTAAATCATCAAAAATCTGATTCAAATCACATAAATTTGATTTTTCTTTTTTAATCGTCATTTTTTTTTCTACCCTGGTTCCAATAAGTCATAATCGTCACTACACACAAAAATAAAAAATATATATAAAAAAAAACGGAAAAGGCAAATGCGAATCAAATGCACATAGATGAGGACAAAAAACGCAGGTTTGCTGCAAAGCTAGGTGGGCACCAGGTGTACCTCAAGCTTATACGAACTGGTGCCAAAGCGCAATTGTAGTTTAAAACCTTTTAAAGCGGTGATTCGAGAGCATGAACAGGGAAACACGGTTTACTAGAACCAGACGGTAGAACATCTATGAGCAGCACATGTACGATAAATACGGGTGTGTGACCGATTCATTCGATTGTTCACGCACTGGAAGCACGACCGAAAGTACTCACGGCGACGGCACCGTTCATTTGACGAAAAGATTACGGACACAAATGAACAACTACTCAATGGAGGTGCTTAATAGCACTTTTAAGAAAAGGTTTACTCTCAAAACGAAAGAAATACTTGCTAATCTTGATAGCCTGTGCTTGCGGTTAGACAGCAAGACCGCGTGACAGCGCACCGGTAGCATGCAGGCACAAATGACAGCGGAAAATAGTAGGAAAATCGGAAAACGACCACGTATCAGAGGTGGAGAAGGGTACTACAGCTGAAATCTTCGAATCCGGCGGCTGCTTGCGCCACCATGTACATGTGCTGTGTACTTTACTAAGACGAAATTGGATGTTGCCAACCAAGCTCTCGTTTCCAGCTAAATCTAGCGTCGCCGCAGACAGTTTTTTAAAAGTATTTTTAGTTACTTTGGCACAGTGTGGCGCAATTTCGACAGATTTTGAGTTTTTGGCGCAACTAGGCGCAGAAAATTGGGTTTGTATCAAAATGGTGCCATTGGCACAGATGTCACACCCCTGATTAGTGCCATTACTACTGACAATACTATTCCATCAACCTACTGTGGGAGGTAGAGCAGTAAAGAATGTAATAGACAAGTTTCAAGTGTCCCTCTTTTCCGCTTTATGCAATTTCTATGGTCCATAGCTTTCACCGTTACGAAACCACAACCTCTCCTTCCCTCTAAAGTGGAAATAATATGACCCAAAACTGGAAACATAAACAGTGACTTTTGTTGTGACTTGAAAGTACAATGACCTGTTGTCCTGACCGAAATTTGAAACATAAGTGGGTTGGCATTTTCGCAGGACCACTGACTTTACGCGCTGATCAAACCATTAATTGTCAAATACTTTTGTGTGTGTCTAGGGGGGGGGGGGGGGAGGGAGGGAGTGATTGGCACATCGAAATTCTGAGTTTATTGGATAAATACGAATTGACGAAAATTTTACCGGCAGGTGTTTTTCAGAGTTTCTCGGGTTTATCGGAAAACACTGAATCCTAATTATAAAGTAGAAGTCGGGATTCATGCTCCCATGGGTATGAATCTGGACTACGCAAGTCCAAGAATATGAAGTCGAGACACGTTCAAGGTTGAAAAAAGCAATGAGATTTAGTCAGCAGATTTTGACGTGAACTAAAGGACCACAGAGATGTGCTGGCTTGAAAGCAGTGAATTACTGGGAGTCATATAGTATTAGGTGTGTGTTTTATTGTACTGTGTATGTAAAATTATTGAATGCATGAAATAAACACTTTGTTTCAAAGCTGTCTGTTCCGTCATTCATAAGCAAGCAAGCTACCCGGTTGGTGACAGGAGCATTTGTTTATGGGTGCAATGCCTTCACCTACACACCAAGTGGCACTGTAGACCGAGTGCAATAAATATGGTCCCAGCAGTTCGGACTAGATACCAAAGTTTCAGAATGTGGCAATATAAGTGATTTTCAGAAATTTTTGAGAAAATTGTAAAAGCTTGAAATTGGCACTATGTGCAAAATGCTACATGCTGGAAAGTCTGCCTTCGGTGATGCAGAGCTTTTTGGTAATGCAAAACTACGGTTAGTTTTTATTACCAAACACCATACACTATGAAATGGTGCTATTCACATGTTCACAATTTTTGTCTGCCCCCCAGGTTTTGCAATTCCTACAAGATAAATGGGCCACTGCTATATTTAGAAAATATAAAAAAAGTTCTGATATCTCAAATGGTTCAAGTTCAAGAATTAATTTTGGAAGAACATAAAAGTGGTCTTCGTGAATGTGTTGCTGCAAACATTCGATCCTGCACTGGTGACCACACCGGCTAAAAACCTCAAAAGGGGAAAAAAGGCAGGCGTCAGCTGTTCCAAGAGGGTAACTTGGATGTTAGCGAAAACTACAGATAGCATGCTTGTTTAGAGATATTCGTAATGTCAGTACTTTGCGCGACATAATTACTGCAGACACCGAACCTGCAATTGTTTAACTATGAATTGACGTCAGGAAGATTCCAGTCCTTCAGCTGTATGAAGTGGGCTCAAAACCTGCGATCGTGTGTGCATGCCAGCAGTGTAGAGCGAAGCTAGCATGGCGGCCAGCAACAGCTGTCTTCAAAGCAATTACAGGCCAAATACGCACGTCTGTTCGCCCGGTGCCGGTTGCAGACCTGCTTCGTCCAGAGCCCAGTAAGCTATCCTCAGCACAGCAGGTTGGAGGCAGATTAGGGCAAAGTCCATATGCTCGGTAACGCACCCCTCCGGCTGAGTCGCAACCGCAGGCGGACATTCCCGGCAGCAGAGGCACTCCCTCGACGTGGGCATGACGCTGCACCGCTTACAGGAGCACCTGTAATTGGAACGAAATAGACGTTAGGCAAATGCTAGCTGAAAATAGCCTAGCGAATTTGAGGAATGTGACGCGCACTTCTTACCATGCTGTCGACGAGAGCCGCCACCCGTCTGGGTCGGGACTTGGGTCAGGCGGAGCTGTCGAGTCCTCGGAAGAGAATTGCTGTTCCCTATGCCGTTTTGGAGGCGTGCTCGCGTACGGCACAAGTCCAACTGACTTACTGTACGCAAGCATCTTGCGCTCGACGTCGCTCAGACCGTCCACCCATGCCACCATGTTGTTCGGGAATCAACGGGAGAGCGGGAGAGCGGCGAGCCGGCGAGCGCTGGGGAAACGGAAGCCAGAAGAACCCAACCGGAAACCAACGCCACTCCGAGTGACGTCACAGGCGAAGCTGGTGCCGCTTCAATGTTGAGTTGAGGGGTGCCAGAGATACCAATTTCTTTTATTTTTTTAATTAAAACTATGGCAAGCAGGAAAGAATAGTTTTCGGTCCTTCGTTTCATATGTGGCCGGGATCAATTCCCGCAATTAATTAGCCAAAGTCCGCAAATTGTTGCACCGCCCCTTTAAAGGAAGAATTCGCCAGCACAAAAACGACGTGCGAAAGTTCGATCATGAATGCAGCGCGGTTGCGGAACACAGTGACTCGAATGACCACCGCATTGACTTCGACAGCACACGCATCCTCGACATTAAGTCCAATTCCCGGCAGAGGCTCTTCGTCGAATCATGGCACCTCGAAACCACACCGCAAAACATCAATCGGTCGCTTGGCGCTTTACCATCCGCCTACGTCAGCGGGCTCAGCCACATTACGATCGCGAAAACATCACGTCCACCGCCGTAAAAGAAGACCACTTGCTCCTCGCGCACACAGTCGCCCCTGAAGAAGAAACCAAGCAGGTTTCGAAACGTTGGGCTCCTTTTTATTTTTGGTTGGCGTTCTTTCCCCCTCTTCTAATATTAGTAACTGGAATATCTTTGATATTTGATTAAATAGCGGACACAAGAACGGACACCCGCTAGGGTAAATACCGCATAGGCCAAACGTCTAAATAAGAATATTCAGTTCTAAAACTGTTCAATCCCAATTCATCATCAAATAACTATTGATAATCATGGCATTCGTCAGGCCCGTAAGGAACCGAGATATGAAATGTTATTTATTCATTCGGTTATTACTCCGATTCGATGTTGACAAGAACTTCATTTTACATTATTGTGTTTAAATAATGTATCGATATATAATTGCAATGTATAACTGTACGTCTAGGGTATTTGGTGTACTTATTAACCAAATCCCGTGCTCAACACGTCTTGGGGTATGTTTGGTGTCATTTGCCAAGGTTATTAGGATTGACCAGCACTTACAATAGCTGAGCCCCCGAGATAGATTGCTTTTTTCGGACTTTTTTTACAAAACAAAACATAAATTTCTACCAAACCATGTCATTACAACGTTGTTATTTCGCTCTGTATTTTTCAGGCCGCCCAGCAGTGCTGAAGACCCTGACTGTGACCGGTGTCAACTTCCGCATCAACATGAACAAGAGCCTGCACTTGAACAGCAAGAGGCAGAAGAAGTTCGAGAAGGCCATCAGTCAGGGCGTCCAGAACCTCTTCTTGTGGGTGTTTTACGGTTCTTTCAGGGAGGCACTCAACCGCTCTGTTGCCCGAGTGGCCCTGCCAAGGGCCTAGGCAATCTCGTTGTGAAGAAAAAAAAAATAAAAAGAAGCAGTAATGAATACTTTATGTTTGATCTCAGCATGAGTTTTGCGCATATGAACACTCATCATGCTCCGTTTCACCACACGTCCCAGAGTAGTTAAGACTACAAAACATACAAGTACACACATACTAAAACCGCAAGGACACGAGGCATTACTCCGATTGATTGGTCTAGCCTGCGATAGCAAACACACAGAGAAAGATGATGAATGCCGTGAAGCTGCACTTTTGTCGCTGCTTGATCAACCCCAACCGCTAAATAAGCGGTTCGGTTCTTCTTCTCAACTCTGCACGTTTCCACGAAGACAGGTCATTGAGACAAGACAACGGAACGGCAGAAATCAACCCCAACAAGGGGACCGCCTCGAGCAAAACCCGACGTCTGGTGACCTCATGAAATGTCAGAACCGTCAAGCCGTAGTCATACTGCTTATACATTTTTTTTTAGGACAGACCGCATACACCGTCTGGGCCAGGTTGTAAGATAGACAGGGGGGGAAACGGCCCATAGAAGCCTACCGCAGCGCCGTGACCGGGTTGTTGACTCGTCTGCTTGCGGGTACCCCCGATTTGCGACAGATGGCGCTGCGGCGAGAGGAAAAAAATCGGAATCTGATTCGCGTGGAGCTCTATGGGAGGGTGCGTAAAATAAACCGAGAGCCCGACAGTCTTCCATTGAAAATCCACTAGAAACCATCGCCATCGATTTAGCCGGTCGCCACCGGTCGCCCACCCGGAGTGAGAGTTCGCGGTGCTCCCCAGAGATGGCGCCACAGAAAAAGAGGAATTGGAGGGGGACACAATCCGGTCGCTCATATGGCTCTCGTTTCCCCACCTGTCTATCTTACACCCTGGTCTGGGCCCTGTTTCATTCTTGTCGCATTGGTTCTGAACTCACTGCAGACATGTTCCCGGCATACCGTGCGTTATGTATGAAGCAATCATGGTTCGAAGACTTTTGAGGCGTCCGCGTAGCTAATTCTGTCTTCATGACCCCAGCCAACACCGCTTTTTGGCTGCAGTTTCAGAGGTGGGGATGCTTATTAGACAATGTGGGAACATATCAAACATAATTCAAAGCGAATGTTTGCCGACCGTCGCATAATGCTTAAAGGAATACTGAACCAAAGAATTTAGTGCCCGTAATAAGTGGGCACGTTCTTTCCACCAGCCAGCAGCCGCCGGTGTGCGCGAGCACACGCAACAAAAATGACGTCACAGACCTCCATTCGCGGTTGAGAGGACAATGAAATGCATGGGCTTCGGACTAAAGGAGAATAAAGACAGGCTTTTCATCTCTACAAGTGAAAGCTACGTGCTTGTTAGACCAATTCATCGCTTACTTTTTACACCAGGCACCACTGTGTAGATGAAAAACTTGTCTTTATTCTCCTTTGGTCCGAAGCCCATACATTTCACTGTCATCTCAACCACGAATGGAGGTCTGTGACGTCATTTTTGTTGCCTGTGCTCGCGCACACCGGCGGCTGCTGGCTCGTGGAAAGAACGTGCGCCACTTATTATGGACACCAAATTCCTTGGTTCAGTATCCCTTTAATATTTCCCCCTTCTTGTCTGTTAAAAGTTTATTAGAGTTCTAGCGAGTAGTTTTCAGAGCACGCGGTTCCGAAATAAGGATCTGTGCAGCTGATTCGTTCCGTGAAACCCTACGTGAAATTTGACATTATGCACGAATCGTAAAACTGCGTAAACGATGATGATAATTGTGTTCAACCAACAGCGCCATCTTCTAGTAAACATGTGAAACGGTCAGCAGCTTGCAAATCCGTGGCTACCCGTGCGTCCGGCTTACTCTTGATGTAAGCAAGGCGGCCGACATAACATTTACCGGTCGCATTTTCGAGACCTGCGAGGTTAAAGGGAATAAAAAAATTAAGTCTCCAATCCACACTGTGAAGCTGTGGTATTACCTGCAACGATAGCCCACTGTACAAGAGACCCTTTTTATGGCAAACGCCCCCAGGTAACGCTCGAGTCCTTGACGTTCCAGAGAACTTCAGGTTTATAAAAAAACGAACAAAGGCTACCTTAATCCGCGGCATGAAATGTAGATGGAGCGTTTCAGCACCAATTCTCCACATGAATGCCGAAAAAACGAAGCAGTAAGAGACATGTTAAATTGTTTCGAATATTCTTGTAAACAAACTTGCCTCCTCCAAGATTGTACACACGAAGGCCCTGGTTAAATTTTCAACTTTGTTATCCATGTAGTATTTATGCCTCCTAACACTGCTGACAATAAGCAAGCTCAACAGGCTTGCAAAGAAGGTGCGACCGGAAGTCGCTTGGGGCGCAAGCGACACTTCATGTTTGTAAACAGCAAAAGGGTCGATAACAGAATATTGACGAAATAAAAGCAAATGCACTGTGCGAAAACGTTTTTATATATGAAAGACTTCGCACGCTGCCGTGGCCACTGCAGCTCATGCAACCGCAATATTACCGAGAAACGCATGCGGGGAGCGCAGCGTTTACACTCGTTTCGTGGTTTCCTTTTTGAAACAAGTGTCAAAACCACATGGTAAAAGATAAGGGGCGCACGACGGTTTTCTGTCGACGTACACGAAAAACCTACAAGTTATATACAGCTTCGCTGTAAAGGTACCTGAACGACCCCAAAAGTAGTGGTCTGTTTCCGTCATCTTGAACTTGAACGACCGTTCATGATTTGTGCCGTCTAACCAAGTCATTCCGTTTGCCCGCAGTCATCATGGCAGCTAGTTATCCCGCAAATCGCTAAAAATTACTAGAATGCGTAATTTACATCATTCACGACGATTACTATGGTGACTAATCCTCGAAATGACTCGGTTGCACCTCTTAAATGAAGCAGAGTAAAGGCATGTTCACACCTACAGTTGAGAGCTAAGTAAACGCCACGTGAGCGCTCGAAAAAGTGCTCTTGGGACGCTTTCTAGTGCGTGACTAATGGGTCGTTCACACTTGGGGATTCGCAGAAGATTCCGCAGGGAAATTGAGGCCGGGAGGGCGAATCCCCTCGCCGGCGCGGAATATTCGACCGCCAGAGCAATCGGTCCAAAACCGATTCTTCCCGTGCAAAAAAAAAATCCACGCCGCGCAAGCTAATCGGAACGCACGGAGAAAATGCGCTTGGAGGCGTCATATCCTGGCCGAGTCGCCCAAGTCGTCGGGATTGCCGCCAGAGTTGTCGGAGTTCCCAAGTAGTGCAAATGGCGCCGTCTCGCTCATATGGTCGTATTGGCGGAGATGCTGATCGAGATTCAATCATCCAACCCTGTTCGACAAGAGCTATCCGAGCAACGAAGATAGTGCCCACAAAAACAATCTGTGGAATAAAATTGGCGTGCTTGGTACGTACACACGTTGTGTCGCTTGCTCGTTATTTTATTATTGCCTTCTGACATCGCCGGGAGAACATTAGGCGTTTTCTCGGCACTGCGGTTTAGCGTTAACTGGAACAGAAAGACTGCGAGAGCATATTTTCCAACGCCACTCGAGTTAGGGGCAGTCTGTTTTGATGTCCGCGAGAAACCGGAATCGCGCGCAGGTGATGCCGAACGGCGCTGTTTTTTTTTTTCATTCTGTAAATTCGCTCGGCGATAAGAGATTTTTCGCAGGTGTGAACACGGCTTTAGTTCTGACATAGCGGGCGATTGTCGCTTTAGTGGCACCTTCTTAGCGCTTCAGTAGCGCCCTGTTAGCGCTTCAGTAGCGCCTTGTTAGCGCTTCTTATACCGCGATTACTGCTGCCGATTAGTGTGCACTGCGGTTCCGGTTCCTGAGGTAGGGTGAACACCATTAGCACCAGAAGAGCCTTCTGGGTCCGCGAAATCTTTCGCCACCAATATATCGACGAGTACCCGGCGAACCTTGTTCGCAGGCTCAAGGACCGAGAGACAGAGCTCTTTCAAAGGTTAGTATCAGTTCTGGCTTGATTAGAACAATTATGACTGTTATTAACAGCCCGAAACCCACATTAAAAGACGTGCTATTACATTTCCAGCTTCCTACGTATGATGCCCGCTAGCTTCACCAGTCTACTCGACATGGTACGCCCCTTGATAACGCCACAAGACTCACGATGGCACAGAACATCCTGGTTGAGCAACAGCTCATGCTGACACTGAGGTAGGTGGGCTTCATTTCTGAAAGCACCAGTCCCTCTCAAATACTTCGAACGTTTCGACCATGGCAACAGAACAAACACCGTCAAACATGACTTTCTAGATACGAAAACAATTTCAACATGTGTATTTCACTCAAAGTGCTCTGATAATAAGAATCATATTATACAAATGCAACTGTTTCAGGGTCATATGTATTTATTTATGGGCGCTCTAACATGTGCTGAGTGCTTACAATTGGTATTCTGTGGCGAAGTTGCGGTTGTTCTAGGGTGCCTCAACGTCTGTCTAGCAGGCTGAAGACATTTTTTGTCGTACCGAATGCCGCCGGGGTGTGCTCGTGAAATGGCAAAGCTTGACAAGCCTCAGGAGCAAATGCAGCAGACGGCACTTCCTCGACCTTCCGCGTGCTCAATCACGGCACGATATTCACAGTCGTCACGTTGAAGCGCTGCCATGTTGCCTACTTTCACTGCGCCAAGGAAACCTTCGTCTTCCTCGTCGTTGTTTTGGCAGGTGGTGACTCAACGGGGGCTCTCGGCAGACAGTCGACGTCCCTGTGTTTGCGACCGGATTTTTACGTAATGGTCATGTCGAAATTCTGCAGTCCGAGACTACATCGGGCCAGGCGTCCAGAGGGATCTTTTAGGTTCACGAGCGAGCACAGCGACTGGTGATATGTGACCACGCGGAATGGACTGCCATAGAAGTACGGCCAAAACTTTGTTATCACAGACCCGACAGCAAGGCATTATGTTTCTGTCTTTGAGAAGTTGCACTCTGCCTTAGGCTGTGAGGCTGTGTCCGACTTGCGTAAGCGATCACTCGCTCCGTACCCTCGTG